AAAAAAAAAAAAAAAAAAAAAAAGCATCATTCTGGTTGCTCTAACAGAGCAGTAGCCAGTAACTGCTTTGTGTGGGTTATCTCAAAGGGAAGCACAAACACATTTCACTTCACCCAACAATGTGCATGTGCCCCTGTACCTGGAAAGCCAAACACTCACTGCAGCCCCGCTCCTTTATGGAGTATGTGGATGTACACGCTATGGCTGACCGAAAGAGGTAGAGTCCTCCCCGTCAGCAGGAGCTTAGACATGAGTCAGGCTAAATGCTACAATTAATAAACTTCACATCCAGCTGTTTTAAGGTAGATTTCCAACAGAAACGAAATGCTGATCACTCAGTAAGGAGTGCCAAGCCAGCACGTGCCAGGAAGTGTAGGAAGAAGTGTCTGGGATGTGATGGGAGGATGGGTAGAGAGGGACCAAGACCCTCCACAGGTGTGGGTCAGCGCAGGTCTGTCCTGGGTGTTACACCCCCTCCCAGCAGTGTCTGAATGTGTTAGTGGTTATGTCTCTCCTGCTGCACGCGCTGTGATACATGAACTAACAGCTCTGGTTAGGAGAGTCTGGAGATCTGTCTGAGAAGCAGCTTACTCAGAATATAAAACAAACCAAAACACAACACTTCGCAGGAGATCCTGCATTGATCTAACCTGCTAAAAACCCATCTCCGCCGTTCACCCAAGAAAACTAAGACGTGAGGGGAGGACACGCGACGGAGAGAATCGTGCCCGTATGACCCTGCCCGGTGTCCCGGGCTGGAGCATCAGCTCTGCCGCTCCGTGCCCACGCACACCCTCCCCTTGACCCCCCCGCCGCCCCGGGGAGCCCCTCATCCCCCCCTCACCTCCCTGCGGAGCCCTCTGCCAGCCCCCATCTCCCACCTTCTTCCCTCCAGGGCAGCAGCCCGGAGAGAGGCGGCAAAGCCATTATCCGGCGCTAATTTCACATCCTGAGCAGAAAGGGCGAATAGTCGAAGGAATATAGGAAAGCGGGCTTTTCTCTGTTGCTCCCAGCAGCTTCCACTCCGCTCCCCCGCCCCACTCTCCCACCCGTGGGTGCTCCCCTCCGCGGGGTGCGGGAGCTGAAACAGCCTGAACCATTAGCTATGAACAAAAATTAAGATAAAAAAAAAAAAAACTTTTAAAAAAAATATATACCATAATAATTGGAAGTAACTGTCTCTTAACCAAGATGTGTCACATCGACCCCTACAAGGCGACTCGGTGGCAGCCGGGCAGCGGAGGGGCAGCGCTGCTCCCGGCCGGGCCTTGCTCTCCTCCCGTCCCGTCCCGTCCCGTCCCGTCCCGTCCCGTCCCACAGCCGCCGGCGACGCCGCGGCGGACGGCGCCGGGCACCCCCGGGGCTCCCTGGGGACCCGCCGGCCCCTGGAGCCCGCGGTCGCGCCGTGCCGGGTCGCGTCCCACCGTGTCCCTTCGTCCCCGCGGGCTCCGGGGGCCCGGTGGGCTCGCAGAGCACGGCAACCGCCATACCGGGCTCCGGGATGCTCGACGGTGCCTTACGGAATAATAAGAGCGGATGCAGCCGGGAAACATCCCGCTTCCAAGCCCTGCTGGTGCCGCAGGGCTGCCGGCAGCTGTTTGTGCAGGGAACAGACCAATACGTTAAGAGTGAAGGTGAAGAGGCACCTGCTGTGCCCGGGCACCCACATTCACCCAACGCATCCCTGCTTCTGCTCGGGCTCTCCTGTTCGTGGATATAGCAGGTGGATCACACAATCATAGAATCATAGGATGGTTTGAGTTGGAAGGGACCTTAAAGACCATCTGGTCTGACCCCGCTGCCCAGGGCAGGGACACCTTCCACCACACCAGGTTGCTCCAAGCCCCCTCCAACCTGGCTTTGAACCCCTCCAGGGATGGGGCTCCCCAACACATGGCCTAGAGCTCACTCCCACAGACATATATAACTGAAGATACATTGCCCAGGCAGACATCTCGTAGAAATGTTGGTGGGAAGGACCCTTTGGAGGTGTCTAGACCAACCTCCTGTTCCAAGACAGGTTGCTGTCAAATCTAGATAAGGATGGCTGTGACTTTGTCCAGCCAAGTTCTGCAGACCTCCAAGGATGCAGATCACAGAATCACAGAATTGTCAGAGTTGGAAGGGAACTCTAGAGACCATCCAGCCCAACTCCTTTGCTAAAGCAGGGTTGCCCAGAGCACATTACCCAGGACGGCATCCGGGCGAGTCTTGAAGATCTCCAGAGAAGGGGACTCCACACCCTCCCTGGGCAGCCTCTGCCAGGGCTCTGCCACCCTCACCCCAAACAAGTTCTTCCTCACATTGGAGTGGAACTTCCCATGGTCCAGCTTGTGCCCGTTGCCCCTCGTCCTGTCCCTGGGAACCCCTGAGAAGAGTCTGGCTCCATCCTCCTTCAACCCACCCTTTAGATACTTGTCAGCATTGATAAGTCTCCCCTCAGCCCCAGCTCTTTGAGCCTTTCCTGGTAAGGGAGGTGCTCCAATCCCTTAATCACACCCCTGCAGGGGAAGCATTGTTTAGTGCCCAAGTGCAATTACACAAACTTTCATAGAGGAACTCAGCAACAAATTTCCAGAACCTGACAGTGACCATTTGGACAAACGTTAGGAAGGTGCAACCTCCATGCCCTGACAACACTCCCATAAAGTCACAAGGACTCTGTAGTCACGTATGTGGGAGGGCTGTCGATAGGCAGACAGCCACATGAAGCCAACCTACCCAGGCAATCACAGAATCACAGAATCACAGAATCTTCTAGGTTGGAAGGGACCTTAAAGATCATCTTGTCCAACCGTCAACCTAACTGACAAAAATAGACACCCACACAACAAACAAGGAACATCATCACTAAACCAGACCTCCCAGCACTACAGGGCGAGTCTTGAAGATCTCCAGAGAAGGGGACTCCACACCCTCCCTGGGCAGCCTCTGCCAGGGCTCTGCCACCCTCACCCCAAACAAGTTCTTCCTCACATTGGAGTGGAACTTCCCATGGTCCAGCTTGTGCCCGTTGCCCCTCGTCCTGTCCCTGGGAACCCCTGAGAAGAGTCTGGCTCCATCCTCCTTCAACCCACCCTTTAGATACTTGTCAGCATTGATAAGTCTCCCCTCAGCCCCAGCTCTTTGAGCCTTTCCTGGTAAGGGAGGTGCTCCAATCCCTTAATCACACCCCTGCAGGGGAAGCATTGTTTAGTGCCCAGGTAAGGGAGATGCTCCAATCCCTTAATCACGCCCCTGCAGGGCATTGTTTAGTGCCCGAGTGCAATTACACAAACTTTCATAGAGGAACTCAGCAACAAATTTCCAGAACCTGACGGTGACCACTGGGACAAACGTTAGGAAGGTGCAACCCCCATGCCCTGAAAACACTCCCATAAAGTCACAGGGCTCTGGAGTCACGTATGTGGGAGGGCTCTCCATAGGCAGACAGCCACATGAAGCCAACCTGCCCAGGCAATCAATGAGAATGGCAACTCCACCGAGCTGGTGGTGCACTGCTCTGTTTCACACCTGCCTCCAGCAGGCTGCGTGTCCGGGCAGTTTGCTTTGCAAACAGCACAAAGGTGTGTGTGAGGCTGGGGACTGTAGCACTTCATAGTGACACTTAGAATCATAGAATATCTCGAGTCGGAAGGGACCCATAAGGATCATCCTGTCCAACTGCCTCCTCCTCCCAGGACTACCTAACACTAAGCCATATGACTAAGAGCATTGGCCGGATGCTCCTTGAACTCTGACAGGCTTGGTGCTGTGACCACATCCCTGCAGAGCCTATTCCAGTGACCAACCACCCTCTCAGTGAAGAACCTTTCCTAATGTCCAAAACTTAAAGAACTCCAGCTGAATCTGTAATTAGTCCCATCCCTGCAGCAGTATCCTCAAACCTCTCATGATGGGAAGACTACCACTGAGACCTGTTCTCCAGGGTGCACTTGGGCTGCTTCTTTTGTTTTCCTACACAGGGTCTCATGGCACCTTCACAGGGCAGAGCATCTCTATAACCGTGCCTCTGCCTGGATGACAGAGATGAGCTGTCCCACCTCCTGCCTGCACAACCCTGCTGCAAGGACTAATGATTTTAGGAGAGGATTAATGTTGTAGGGACAACATTAACAGTCACCACTTCACACCAGTCCTACTACAGTAAGAAAGCCCTGCTCTCCTCCCATGCCCTGTCTTGAGTTGGGCCATGGAGGGCCCAATGGTTGGGCCATTGAGTTCAACCATGGAGGCACAGGAGGGTAAACAGGGTTGTTGTTTGGGAGGGGAACCAGAGGAATGTGTGTGGCTGCATGTCAGAAAAGTCTGTGGCTTCATGAAGGAGGTAAGATGGGAGTCTCAGATACCATAAAAAATGGGGTGAAGAAGGGCAACCCAACTGTGCTCACCCCCTACAGAGGCCCCATCATCTAGTACTCACTGTCCTAGGACACAGCTGACTCCCCATGGCCTTCCCTTTGAACCTGCTCTGCTACAGCCTCGTATCTTAATCTTGTTGCCCAAATACTCAAGGAGCAGCACAGTTCTGTTTTGCCTCCCCCTCTGAGAAGCTCTCCTCCTTTTCTGCTCTTGGCATTAGGTGCCACACAGTGACTTCAGGACTTTGTTATCTGGGTTTACTTTGTTGCCCAAATACTCAAGGAGCAGCACAGTTCTGTTTTGCCTCCCCCTCTGAGAAGCTCTCCTCCTTTTCTGCTCTTGGCATTAGGTGCCACACAGTGACTTCAGGACTTTGTTATCTGGGTTTACTGGTAGAAGAATGTCTTTTGATGCTATTTTTCATTGATGCTATTTTCATTGATGCTTTTTTTGATGCTATTTTTCACCAAATTGTATCAGAATGACTGGGAGGGAGGGGTTGCTTGTGATAACCCTCTCCTTTCTTGACTCACTTCCACCATGACAGTGTTCAGACCACACAGGCCTGGGCATCAGGGAAACAGGGACATTTGTATCTGCTGAGAACCATCAGAGAATGCAATTCTGCATTTGGGAATATTCTTCAGGTGCAGTCTTCAGCCACAGTGCCAAGATGTCCCCAGATCAGACACCACCATGGGAGCAGTTCAGGAAGAAGGCAACCACCTGCCTCCAAATCTGAAAGTGGAAACACATGGAGAACCACACACCATGCTCACCAGTCTCACAACCAGGTCTTGATGTCTTTGGCAAAGGCAGCTACAGTTCAGCCTCTACAGGCCTCCTGGGACTTGCTCTCCAAATTCAGGTGCTCTGGTGGACCAGGGTCCCAAGCCCTTGAGTACTAAAGCAGCCAAGATCCCTTACTGCAGACTCTTGGAGAAGCTGTGACACCTTTAAGCCACTCCTTGGTGCTCAGCACTGCCTACAGCCCTCAGTGTATCAGGGGAGCTGCCCGGATGTTTGTCCAAGTCAACTGGCTTAGGGAAGTCCACTTCGTGGACACTGGTGGGCAGAGCAGAGTTCACACAGTACCTCTGCCAGTATCTCAGAGGGGGCAGGCGGGTTGGTGGCTCCTGTAGAAAGCTGTGGCAGATGAGGTGTTTCTAGTAGTTCTGTCAGTTCTTGGGTGTCCTGGAGCACACCTGGAAAGCATGGACAGCTTCCCAGGCATGCCATGAAGGCTGGTAGAGGAAGAAGAGAGGCATAGACCCCACAGAACTGTGCAACCCAAGGTGACTTGATAAGGAAGGATGAAAAGAACTGGCCAGGATCCAGGCAATGAAGTGCCAGCAGAAGGCACTAAGGTGCTGATGTACGAATCTTTCAATCCTAGATAGAATACAGGCAGGAAGAGCAAATTTCTGAGGGCTGCCAAGGGAGGAAGGCAAGCAGTGGTGGGGAAGAGAACACAAACACCTCTCTTGTGCCCCCTGGAAAGTGTCTGTGATGTGAAGAAGGTGTCTTTCCATACACTTTGGAGGCCACAAGTACAGCCAGATTTT